CAGAAATAAGAATAGGGTCAATCATTAAAGAAATAACACGAAGCTATATAGATAGAGTAAAAGCAGTAGCAGAGCTAACAGCAATTTCAGAGAATATTTTAAAGTACAAAACATTTGAAGCATATACTGATGGTTTACTACTAGAGCTACAAGAAACAGCAAATGAAACCAAGATGGGAGTAGGATGGACCCTACAAATGCAAGAAGAAAGACCATTAAAGAAGATAGCAGAGTTTAACTGCGCTATAAAAGGCTGGTCCTCATCAACAAGGGCAGAGCTAGGTGTAATCTTGACTGTGCTGTTAGTCTTGCCAGAAGAAGCATCTATAAAGATATATACAGACAGTCAAGCAGCAATTCAAGTAGTTTAAAAAATGGCAGAAATAAAGAAAATACACAGTTATCTCAAAATGAAAAATGAAAGTATTTTGGGCCAAATAGAACATATAAGAGAAAGAAAACGATTGAAGGTTGAACTGCACAAGGTGAAAGGACACAGCGGAATAGAAGCAAATAAAGAGGCAGATAAGTTAGCAAAAGAAGAAGCAAGATCGAACAAGATTATTGAAGTTCGGCTATCATGGACCAAGCTAATATATGTTATACCAAGATAGAAAGGGTTAATAGTGAATAAGCCTATCAGAAGCTTTGTAAATTGGATCACAATAGCAGTTCTAGATGCAGAATGGGCAGGATTAAGTAGAATGAAAAAATGGGTTAGAGAGGAAAGAGAGGATAGTTTAGATTGGAGTGAAACATAGAAATATATAGAAGGAGTAAAAGATAACAATTGTTTAGATAATAAACCGAATAATAAATGAACATTTAGAGTAAAATGTTTAAATGAAATACTGCCAACAATGATGGAGCTCAAGTCAAGAAGGCCTGACCTTTACAAGACTAATAAGTGCATTACGTGCTAAGAAAAACCAGAAACAATAGATCATTTAACAAGCTGCGAAAACTATCAAGGTATATGGAGTATAATAAAAGAAGAAACATGTGACAAAATAGAGAAAACTATAAAGAAAGAAGAATTCGCTGAAAGAATACCAACTAGAGCTGCAATAAAAGAAAAATCTTTGGCGCATCTAATACAGAACGGATAAAAGCGAAAAGTTATATGATTAGAGGTCTAATTAAGAAAGAGCAAAAACAAAAAGTAGAGAATATGCTCCAAAGTAGAAAAGCAGTTAGCAAAATAATAAATATAGCACTTAATAAGTTGGGCGAGAGATTCCATTAGCACATCTGGAACTTTAGATGCGAACTACAAATAGAATAGGAAAAAAGAGAAAGAATTTCGAAGAAGGATAAGAAGATGAAAAAGGCCAACAAGAAAAAGAAGAAAAAGAAAAAAGAAGATGAGGAAAATAAAGAAAATCAAATACAAACAGAAGGACAGAAAAATAAGAAGAAAGAAGATACAAGAGCAGTAGCATTCAAAAACATAGAAAATCTAGTGTAAGATGGTAAAAAACCATATTGGTCTTCATAGGTAAGATGTAAAGTTAAAACAGATTTAAATGACAGTACTGACAAGGTGAGTAGTCACCAGTCTGTAATCGAAGGGATCAAATCCTTAGTGAGTTAAGGATCCGGAGGGAGGTCAAGGACTACTGAGACAGGTCGCACCTGGGTGTAAGCCGAGGGTAAGTCTCTAGTTTGGTTAGATTAGCAATAGCTACAGATAGAAATGTATAATTCTTGAATAGCTTAATCTCAAATAAACTGAGGCAGGATTGCTAAATTAAAAAAAAAATATTTTTATTCTATTAAAAATATTTAAAAGATAAGGGGAATAATTTAGCAGAGGTAGATAAAATAGCAGATTAAATTATATTAAATTAATAATTCTTATACTATTTGATTCATTTCACCAAAACAAATCAAATGATATAAAAAAACTTCAATTCTAATTAAAGTATTGTATATATACTTTAGCAAATGATACTGCAAATAATTATTATTATTTAATCTACTAAAAAATTATTTGATCAACTTTAGTATAGAATTGATTTTTTTGAGTATAATTAATATTTGTTAGTGATATGAAAAAGAGGTCATCATACATATAAGTTCTTTGCACTGTGTTGTCCAAATAGCATTGACCTAACATAATCAGAAAAAATAATTTTTACTAAAGTGATTGTTGTCGATACTCATTTTAAAAAATAATTAAAGTTTGTGTACTATTTGTAATTAAAACCAAAATTTTCAATATATCATTAAATTAAAAAAACTCATCACTCACACCTCTAATAAAACTCACCTACACATTCCAGCAAAACTTCACCACTCATTCCATAAAAAACTCTCTTGCATATTCTAGTGAAACTCCTCTGTATATTCTTTGTTATCATATACTAATAATTATTGCTATAAACAGTTAATTTTATATCAATCGATCTGCCACTTTACCTTTCAAGAATTAAAATTATTTGCTTTATGTAGTAAAAAAATTTTTTTTTGATATTAAGATGACCTCTTGGTTACTTTCCTTTTATTCAGTTATTATTAACTTTTACAATATGGTATACACCATACTGTATATATATTTGAAGAGTACAACTAGCTACATGTGCAACTTTTGGTTGCCTATTTAAGTAGTCCCTTATTACTAAGTCTTATACTAGCTGCCATATCTATAACCCTAATGTATTACCTATTTAAACACTCTGCACCTATAAATATTAACTTCTAATCGAGTGAGAATACTTAGTACTCCCTTATTTTCAGATATTCGACTTAGGATTTTAAGACAAATCCACCTATAGGGGTCCTTTATCCTCAAGGTAAACCTGCTAGAGCCTTCTGTACCCACAATCCAGTCAACCTAAACTTCAGTAACTTACGCTGAGTCTAAGAACAAGTACTTGCAAGCTAAAGCCACTACTATTACCTACTTCTGTCTTTGTAAAGTTCACTTAGACCCCAGCACACACTTTATAGACAATCACTACTGTTTCTGGTCACTAATTGTGCCTCAAACTCCCAATTCAGATGGCCTAGAAGGGACCAGTAAGCATCCCCTAGTATTCTGATTGAATCTTTTTTCCTCATATTACATGTGGCCTAGTTGGTATTAGTATTTGTCAAACACCCAGTTCTTGTCTGGTTTACTGTTATTGTCCAATTGCTAATAACAATCCTTTATATAATACTGTTGAAAGTCTGTGCTATCTCTTTACTCAGGACTTACCAAGTGGGTTTCTGTATACTCTGATTCTCTGAATTTACATGTGTATCACTCATTTTATGCAACTTATACGTAATACTACTGTTCTGCAACCTCCCAGTACAAGCTGGTATGACCAAGGTTACAGATGCTAACCTGTCAGATTATATACAGTTTATTATAACACATTTCTTAAATTCGAATTTTGTTACTAGTGAAATTCGAACTCTTAACCTGCCACTTAAGGATGTGACAACTTATCAACTACACTAAGTTACTACACCTTTATATAATAAAAATTAACAATAATGTTTAAAACAAAAAATATATAATTTTAAACTAAAGTTTGCAGTTAGTAATATTTTTAATAAAGTTTTACTATTAGCAAATTTTAAATCCATCAAATTATCTCTTTACCTATCTCATAACCAGCTTTTACTAACTTCATATTAGTTTATAAGTTTTGTCATTTTGATGACTTTTATCTAATAACTATACATAATCATATGAAATTAGAGATATTATAAAAAACCTATGGGTTTAAGAGATAATTCATTCTTGATCATATCATATGTAGAATTCCATCTGGTAGAGCAATACAGAATAGATTTATAATATTTGATATAGTATGTATTATAGGCATTTTCAAGAAGTTCAAAATGTTGAGATGATATACAAATAGCCGAATTAAGTTCTCAAATCTTTAATTATTCTTTTATTAGTATAATAAAAAAAAAAAAACAAATAAAAAAATATTAACACTAATAAAGTTTATATTAAAATTAGGCAAACATCTTCCTTTATTTGATCTAAAGCAGCCTGCACTGCCAAATTAAAAATATAATAAAAACAACAGAATCTAAGGTGTTCTGAGTTCCATTTAAGATATTTTTCTTCATACAATCTAACTGCCAATTCACACACAAAAACATCATTATTTGTGGTATTGTCTAAGATAATAACAAATAACTATCCAAGAAAAGAATATATACATAATAAGATTAGAAATAATATTACTATATGCAGTATAAGATTAATAAAAATTAACTAATTTCGCTTCTAAAACAGTGTTGTCATAACCAATAGTTTTGATTGGATATTTAATGTCTAATCTAACAGTATAAATATTAAATTGGACATTTAATCCAAAGGTGGATGTTTAAATTTGATGATATACAAATATCTAATTTTGTCTAATATACAGTACTTGAAAATATATTATAGTTATATGAAAAACAACATACATTTTCTTATGTAGCAAATTAATAATAAATATCAATATACCAATTTAGCAATATATTATTACAATATATATATTGAAAATCGATACATCTAACCTTTCCTATTCCTCTAAAAGTGTTGTCTTCAATTTTTTATATGTTTTTGGAAGTGGTCTTCGTTGCTATATTCTACATACATCTCTTTAGTATATTCTATATATGCTTGTTGTATAACTATAATATACTTTCTGAGAGTACTGTACATCATTGCTCTAAATAAATTAAAAGATAAATACCTTTGAAGTAATCTCATAATTTTTTAAAACCTTAAAGAATTTATTTGCAATATTATTCCTATCATATTTTCCGCTTATTAAACCAAAGTCAATTATGGTTTCTCTAATAGCTCAATTTTTATCTATATAATGTACTGTAGTAGAAATAAAGGACTTATTATTAGAAGACATCCAAAGGTTTAACGTAAAGGAAATTTTAGAATTAAGAGTGGCAAAGTAGGTCTAGAAAATTAAAAATACCCAGAAAAAAATAAATAATCCACAGAACTCTAATACATCTACAACATATAGGATCAGTATTTGAAATTAGTAATCTCAGAGCATAATGCAAATTTTTTACTGTTAACTATTAAAAATTTTTGGTGAACACTAGAAGTATAAGAGTATTCTTATCTATAATATATAAATTGAAACTACTAAAAATTTTTCTATTTGGTTAATTGTTTAACCATATTAATTATACTGTTCTTATGTAAACAATATTTGAGCTATAAATTTCGATACTGATAAGAATATAATAATCATGAAGCTTGCCTTCAATTCTCTTTTTTTAGAGTTATAAAATGATATAATTGCATTCTTTATTGTATCTGCTTTGACTAGGCATGCTGTAGAATTTAAATACTATATGATTTCAATCAGCTCAGGGCAGTGATGTATGTTTTGACTGTCTAAAGGCTTTTTTGACACTGTCTAACATCCAAGTATCCAAGTATCTACAAGTGTCCAGAGCATGTCTAAGCTTTAATAATTTTAAAAAATATATAATTTTATATTTTTTAGGTGCTGAACATATTTTACTTAGAAAATAATATAGGTTATCTTAATAAAATTTTGAGTAATTTTAATTTATTTAATTGTCTAAAATTGTCCAAAGTGTCTAAACTTACTGTTCACAACTGTCCCATAACAACACTGGCTCAGAGTCTTTAATTATAGTAAATGGATGCTGACAATTAATAATCTAAATAGCTAACATATTGTGAAGTTTTATATTATTATCATCAGTCAGCATTGTAGTGAAAGGTTTTTAGAATTCTAAAATAAGATTTTCAAGTTAGATTAGCTCAAAAATTATAAAAAATAAGTAACTCACTCTTTTGAATGTCTCCACAATTTTACCACCTTCACTTCGTGCTTTCTTTTTTTTCTTATATTTTTCTGTTGTGACATATTGAATCCAATGCATATTTTCTAAGTAGCACTATAGGGTGCTGGTTGAACCTCTATTTTCACAAGAAAATTCTCTATATATACATCTCGAAACCTTATATTTAGTGAATTTTTGTTTTTTTTTCTATACAACTTTGTCAAAAAAATGCTACATCTCACTCCAATCTTGTTTGTTACTAGCAGAAATATTAATATTGTTATTAGCAGGGTTATTAGTGAGGTCACTTTCATGATCATCTTTGTAATCATTTTTATAACCATTTTCATGATTGTAATCATTAACACAGTTATTATTATAGTTATCAACATGATCATTATCACAGTCATTATTAAATCTAAATCTTTTAGATTACAAAGAGAATAAACTTATTATTGCAAAAAGATACTCTGGTATATTACCACTTTTTTTACAGCTTATTAATTAGACAGCATTAAGTCAAAGTCAGAATACCAATATCTTAATACAAAGGTATAGAGTCACGTTTATTGATCTTACTGTTTTTTTACTTAAAACAAGAAGTGAAAAATTTTTTTTTATGTGTTTTATATATTTTACATTTGACTCTAAGCTAATTATATAATTACATTATTGATTTTATTT